AGAATAGAATAGAATAGAATAGAATAGAATAGAATAGAGTTGAACCAATAACGGTAGTTTTGGATGCACACCTACATATAATAGTAATCTATGCAATTAATTTACAAACGTAATTATATGTATGAAGTATACATGTACATAATACACAGGAATATTTCAAGTAAAAAAATCCAATGTTTCTCACTATAACACCAACCAATATACACTATATTTTCTCTATTAGACTCTAATAGAGGTGCAGGTGAGCAAACAAATTTGATTTTGGTGGTACAGTCACCAAACACACTGATCAATTTATGCTCATCTCAAGCACATCTAATACAGCAAATATTGAATTGGATATCGTTTTTTGTTTTTTATTTTCAACATTCATATTGTTAGAACATCATCAGTCATTCAAGAGGAAAAAAGGTAGATGTGGTTGGAATGAAAAGTTATCATAAAAAGAACAGAAATCACATGTACTGAGCTGCACTAATTATACAAGCAAGATCCTTGAATAGTTTTGTTTATACATGAGAAGTCGGTCAGATGAACGGATGGAAGCATGGATGCCGACCAAACAAAGATAGATATTTGCAATCAATGAAACTGATCTAGAAATGAAAAACGCACAAATTTTTGCATATTCTTTGACGGTGCCTAAGATTTAATATCATATTAATTATGATTAATTTATTTGATTCACAGCTTCAAACAGCAAATTTCAACAATTGTCATTATTATAATTATAATCTGATATAGAGCGAAAAAATTTATCATTTATGAAAATTAGGTGATCAATATTAAGGGATTATATATTAATTTGTGCTAATATCTGAATAACAATTTTTGAGATATTGATGGAGCAGTCCGACAGACATACATAATTGCAACAATGTTCTTGCATTCACACTGTACTTTAGCTAGCATTGCAGTAATTTCATATCCAATAGATGGAAGTAAAAGGTCATGTTCAGGTCTTTAAAATGCTAAACAACTTTTGTCACTTTTTAATTCCCACATAAAAATTTTTCATATTTTCCCCAAAATTCACCAATACCTGAACCTAATAAAAAATCATGTTAATTTGGTCCAACATTAGCAAAAAACGTTATGGAAAAAATTTTAAAATTTTAGCGGAAAAAATTATGGAATTCAAAAAGTTAACACGCATTTTATTCTTTTATTGCTTATAAAAGACATTCAGCGACAAAC